GTATAATATACTATATTATAATATTATTTGTAAACAAAACTAATATCTTTATATCTTTATATATAAATATATAAATATATAAATATGGAAAGATATAAATATATGTAAAAATATAAAGATATAAATATATAAAGATATAAATATATGTAAAAATATAAAGATATAAATATATAAAGATATAAATATATAAATATGTAAAGATATAAATATATATCTTTAATATTTTGTACATGTAAATATAATTTATATATATTTTTAAACCTTTTTCTAATATTATTTTTTAAAAATAAAATATTATTTTAAAATTTAAAATTTAAATATATAAATATATAAAGATATAAATAAATATATAAATATATTAATATATAAATATATAAATATGTAAATATATAAATATGTATATATATAAATATATAAATATGTAAATATATAAATATGTAAATATATAAATATATAAATATGTAAATATATAAATATGTAAATATATAAATATATAAAAATATCAATATATAATATATAAATATATATTAAAATATATAAATATATTTGTATTTATAGATTTTATAAATATATAAAGATATAAATATATATATATATAAAGATATAAATATATGTAAAGATACAAAGATATAAATATATGTAAAGATACAAAGATATAAATATATGTAAAGATACAAAGATATAAATATATGTAAAGATATAAATATATAAATATATAAAGATATAAATATATGTCTTTAATATTTTCTACATGTAAATATAATTTATATATATTTTTAAATCATTTTCTAATATTTATTTTTAATAATATAATATTATTTTTAAAATATAATATTATTTTTAAAATTTAATATTTAAATTTTTTTTCAAATATATAAATATATAAAGATATAAATGTATAAGGATATAAATAAATATATAAATATATCAATATATAAATATATCAAAATATAAATATATCAATATATCAATATATAAATATATAAATATATATATATATATATATATATATATATATATATATCAATATTATCCCCTTATATATTATTATACATTATTAGTATAATTTTAATTTAATTAAAAATTAGAATACAAATATACTATACTATACTAATATACCATTATATTATTTTCATTGTATATAAATTACAAAATTAATAATTTGTATACTATACTATACTAATATATAATTTGTATACTGTACTAATAGTATAATATACTATATTATAATATTATTTGTATACAAAACTAATATCTTTATATCTTTATATATAAATATATAACTATGGAAATATATAAATATATGTAAGAATATAAAGATATAAATATATAAATATATGTAAAAATATAAAGATATAAATATATCAATATATAAATATATCAATATATAAATGTATCAATGTATAAATATATCAATATTAAAATATATATTAAAATATATAAATATATTTTTATTTATAGATTTTATATTTATATATTTCTTAGAAAAATATCAAATTTTATTATTAAAATAATTAAATAATAATGATTGTAGATGGGAATTGAGATTCAGTGAAAATGCAAAATTATCTTCTGTACATTAAACATTAAACTAATTAAGCAGTCTTCTTTTTTTATTGTAGATGAGAATTGATAAGCATTTTATTTATTTATTTTATTGTTATAATTAATTATCATATCATATCATATTTTATCTTAGATACTGAAAAAATTAAGCACACTGTTTTCAACTCCGAAGATCTTTGATGATCATTGGAGAGTAGTTTATATTGTGATCTATGTTTTAAAATAGTCTCAATATTTAATTTGACAATGTATGTAACAAATTTATTAAAATGAATTTAAAAAATAGCCATGAAGAATGTCTTATAATTTAAGTATGTACAAAGGTGAATAAGTATGTTCAAAATAAATTAATTTTTAGACTGAGGTGAATGTAATTTGGTCTAATAATTATATTTTATTTTTAATCTTTCTTAAAAAATATTATAAAAAATATTTTTTTATTTTGTTCTTTTATTTTTTATGATTTAAATTTTTATAAAATTTAATAACATTATTTAAATTCTTAAAATTAATTTTAAGATGAATAAATGATATTTATTTGATAAATTATTTTTTTTAAAACATATTAGATATTAACATTATATAATATACCTTAGTAAGTATTACTTTACAATGATCACTTACGAATGCACATAATAATAAGATAACAAATGAATTTTAAACATTTAGGAAATAAACAAATTTATTTATAAAAACATAAAATAAAATTTGCTATATTTTAACATAGACTATAAATTCATTTAAATAATAATATAATTTCATGAAATATGTATGTATTATTTCTATAAGCAGTTTTGACTACTTGCCCCCACTCTACTGAAGAGGGTCCACCATTTTCAATGATTCTGATCACTCACAGACACCACATACCAATCAACACAATGCTTTCATTTCCAGCATCAAATCAAATATAAATACACTAAATCATTCAAATTTCATGTATATAATTTCAGTTGTTATTATACTTTTGGTTTCAATTCATATAAGCAACATTATTTGTACGAAAATTAGCTTCTATACATAAATAAAAAATTTCAGATTTCTTAGAGGATTTACTAACACCAATTTAGTAATTGTTATATTTAAGATGGAAAAAAAGAAATGAAATGATGTTTTTTTGTAGTATCTAATGAATGAGATAAGAATGATGGCATGGCATATACAATCCCAAAGCTGTCTCAGAAGACTGATACAAGGACCACTTAGTTAGATGCTTCCACATTTTCATTTTTCAACCTTGATGAAGGTGAATTGTCATGCCAATGCATGCTCCAACAATTTATTGCGGCTGGAAAATAAATATCTTCAGCTTAGGTTGGTAGGTTAACAACTTGCGAACCAGAAAGGCAGAAAACCCTTCGAAATGTGTATACAATAATGGAATCAAGTCAATCTAATCTTATACGTAAAGCTAAGTAGGGGACCTCACTTCACATTCTTTGCAAAAATGCATGGCGGTGGTGTTGAGCTTCGAGCTTTGAGCACAGAGAAAATGGCGATGCTGTTAAGGAATAAATAGATATCTACCTAAATTTTTTTTTCATTTTTTGAATCATTTTTATTAATTGTGTATAATTCTTCACATATTTATCTTGGTGGTTCTTATAAGCCGGTTATACTAGGATTTCTTTGCATGAGATTTGCATATGCATGTCATGTCAAAGATTCTGCAGCTTGTTTTTTTCTTCTTTTCACTGCAAGTTTACAACCTGTATCTTGTATCTTATCTTTTTGCCTACGTTATGTTCAGCTTTCTTATGATTATCAACTGTATGTTATTTACATATATAAACCTTCCTTGTACTATGCTTATGTCTACTACACTCTAGTTTAGTTTCTTAGCATTAAATGTTCCCTCTGCATAATTTGTCTTTGAGGATTACTCCATTCGTATTTATCTTTCTTTTTATGCATAAGACGAAGATAGAAGGAAAATAAAAAAAATATAATGAAAATTGCTTCTTATATGATTTTAAATTATTTATTATTTTTTATGATGAAAATTGTCCTTTCTCAGAAAAAAATTCTTCCATAATCTGGAACCCATGTTTCGGTGTCACATAACATCATAACGTGTTTTCAGTCAACGATAAGTATTAACTTGATAATTATAAAAGTATTTGGATTTGGATTTTAGCCGCCATAAGTAAAAGAGAGAAATAAAATAAAAATTTGTGATACACTTTATTGGTTTAAAAAATAATTACTTGTTTAGAGTGAAATTAATTATTTATTATGAAATTTGATTAATGAATTTGCATACTTATCATGTTCAATTAATTCGGTTGGAGTCAAAGTTAAATGATAAATTTAAATGCTCGAAATTAAGTATAATATTTAAAAATGAAATGGAATTATATTTCGTATGATCTCTCATTCTTATTGTTTTCAAAGAATACATCTTTTATATTAATCACAATTTCATCTAGTAGATAACATTTTATGAAATATAATATCATATTTATTTAAATTTTATAGTTGTTATATATATATATAGTTTATTATCCATGTATATATAATATTAAAATTAAAACCTTAACAAATGAGATTCACACAGTCCTATCTCGTACTCTTGAAGTTTTAACCCAATAAATTAAATTTTCAATAAATAGTTTCATCAATTTAAATTTTATTCTACTATTTATACATAAGTTAATCTTAATTTTAATAATTATGACATTTTCTTATTTTTTATTAAGTTTTTGGTGAAAATTTTATTCGAACACCACCAAGTAATTAGTCGGTGAGAAATTTAATAAAAAATAATGGATAGAATCACGTTGTTCAAAGGTGTAAAAATATAATAAAAATAATTTAAAAAAGAACGAAACTTGTTAGTATATTTTTAACTTTACTTTTATAATATCTTTATTCTTTTTTATCAAATTATTATTTTTCATACATTTTACTTCTCATCTATCATGTACTCATTTCCCTTTCGACTCATGGTAGTACTAGGATAAAAAGAACAGTGAAAGTTAAAAAATGGTTTTAACCGAGAATGTTTTTCACCATGGTTGGTAGGTGATTGGTTCATAGCAGTAGCGTTGCATTCATGGTCTAAAGCGTTATTATGACTCACCTCGAGGGTGACACATGAACCCAACGTGACTCCAAAACCCACTGGCCCCACAACACCAACACTCACGCGCACTCCAAAGCGCGTTTCCTCTCTCTGCAAATCACGAACCAACCACGATCCCCCACGTCACCACCCCTTCGCTCTACACCGTCGATCACCACACAACCATTCTGTGATTCAGGTCTCAAGTGGAGCCCACGCAGTGTACGCCAGACCCAACCCAAGCACTCTATATAAATCCACACGTCCACCATCTTCTTCTCTCTCACTTCCTCACTCACATTTATTTGATGTTCGTCACGAGACTCACAGTGCCAATTATTTTTACTGTTCTCTGAAGAAGAAGAAGAAGATGTGTGGAGGTGCTATTATTTCAGACTTCATTGGTGTCAAGCGTGACCGCAAACTCGCCGCGCAGCAACTATGGTCCGAGCTTGACCCTTTCTCTGACTTCCTCGGCTTCGACTCCTCCGCCACCACTGCTACTTCCAAAAGCCAACCACCCCTCCCCGTAATTTCAGACAAAAAAGGTTAGCTTTTTACCAAAATCTAAATCAAATTTTATTTTTGACAACTACCTACCTACTAGTCTATCTTTTTCTTCTTGTTCTAGGCTGTTCTCTGTGTGTGCCTATTCTATTTCCCCATGTTCCTACTTTCCTGTCTGAATTTTTGTCACCCAATTATGCTGTTTGCTACTGTTTTTAGTGGACAAATTTCAAAATAAATCCAAGCTTTTAACCTTTTTTTATTGTAAATCGGAAAATAATACTTTCTTTTGTTCTTTCCTGTATTAACAACAAACATGCAATCGAAAATTCTGCTTTGAGTTTTAATTTATTTATTTTTTTTGTATTATACAACATGCAATCGAAAAATCAGATATTTTTTACAGTTTTTATTTTTATTTATTCAGAAAAACTTGCTTGAGTTTGTACTGATAATCTTTTTTTCTATAAATTTGTAATGTAACTGTAAAATGGAAATTAAGTTAAAGTTAATCCATTGGGTGGTCTCAAAATGGTCTTTTTACTTGTGGGGTTTGGTTTATGGTGGTGGATAAAGAAGTCGTGTGTTTTGAACAAGTTAGAAAAAAAAAAGAGAAAAAAAAAACGGAGTAAAGTTGAAGCTTTTACTAATTTACATTAAAAAATAACAAGACGCCAGCGTTTCTTTTGTTCACGTTTTTCCTTGCAATTAAATAGAAATGGTAAAGAGAAAAAGGGAAAGTTTATTATGACTTTGAAGAGTTTTTTAAAGCAAATTTTATCACGGTCCTCGTGGAAGACACAACGTGGCCTTGAAACAAAAACAGCCATTAACTTTAGAAGTTCGTAAGGTGTCAGGGGATGACAATGATAACGCAGTGTTTGTTTGTACGTGGCAGTGGAATCATGTGAGAAGAAGAAAAGTGTGGGTGCAGGGAAGAAGAGTGAGCGTGCTCGCAAGAACGTGTACAGAGGAATCAGGCAAAGGCCATGGGGGAAATGGGCCGCAGAAATAAGGGACCCACACAAGGGTGTCCGCGTCTGGCTCGGCACCTTCCCCACCGCCGAGGAAGCCGCCAGAGCCTATGACGCCGCCGCCAAACGCATCCGCGGTGACAAGGCCAAACTCAACTTCCCCAGCGGCACTCCGCCACCCTCCAAGAAGCGCTGCCTCAGCCCCGACCTCCCCCAACAAAGCAGTTCAGCTTCCACCGGACCACTGCTTTCCGTGGCCGCCCACAGCAGCGACAGCAGCGTAGGAGAGGAACTCGATCTGAAACAAATTGAACTGTTTCTTGGCTTAGAGAATGAGCAACCTCTGCCCAACGGTGTTGAATGGGACAACGGTTACATTATGGATGACTTATGGATGCTCGACGACGTCGTTGTGTCCGACCGTAACCTTGTCTATTAGAAGAGAATAACATGTTTGGATAAGCGTTTTCCTTAAAAACTTGTATAGAAGAAAATGATAAAAATAAATAAATTGAGTTTTTTTCTAAATTAAAATCGGCTTATGTGAGTTTTATCCTCTATCTTTTTAACATTAAAATACATAAGTTGGTTTTAATTTGGATTGAATATCGATTTATTTTGTTGTTTTCTTCTCGTTCGAGCTTTTATAGGAAAGCTTATGTGGGGTGTTTTTCTATAAATTGTAAAAAACTATGTTGGTGTGTGTTTTTATTTCTTAGTTTATGTCGCTTTGTCTCGTCTTACCTAGGTCTGGACGGTCGAATGATTTAAAAATTAGTGCACCAGTGTATTAGCAGGATGATGATTATGTATTATGATTATGAATAAAGGTCAGCTACGGCGTTTTAGTGTTTGGGTCGTGGATGTTTATATGTAGTTTATGTGTTGTATATAATATTCATGGCTTTATTATATAATAGCACTTTGTTGTTTTTGCAAACCTCTTTATGATTGTAATGTCGGTGCATGAATCTGATGTCTACTTCGTAGACCAAGTTCGATTGTCTTAACATGTAGTATATGTTTACTTAATTGTTTAAACAAGCCTACTTGTTATGCCAACTTGTTTTTAATTATCTGTTATTAATGAATAATCTTGGAATTGGATAAGTTTGATGATGTGCATTAGTATTTTTTAATTTTTTTTTGTCTTTAATCAAACACAATTGTTTAGTATTTAAAACTTTTATTAATATAAAAAAAAATAAGTAAAAGATATTTGCAATAAATACGCATCTTGTTTGGAGTGCCACTTCTACTTTTTCAATCATATTTTGTTATTAATTGTGGAGATTCTAATGTTCATCCATCACGAGCAGGGTTGGAATTTTGTGCATGGAGTGAAGAATTAAAAAGGGAAATGGCAGTTGACAAATGAACACATCATCGTTTTCATATTTCAAATCTTTCGATCGAGATTTTACATATGTTGTCTTCTTTCTTGGGTTTTTGTTTTATCAGAATGGCCACAACCATTTTGTCTCTACCTCCCTCACAGACACACAAAAAAAAAAACACTTGCACTTGCTAAGTTTTGTCCCCATTTACATGAATCAAATATTAATATATAACTACTTGAAATTCAAATTTAAGATTTTGGTTAAACGTAGCAACCTATCTTCTGGCTTAGGAATGCGAACTTACGTATATTTTTGTTTCTGTTGTTTTCAAATGCTTATACTTATATATTTGCTGCGACCAAGAGTAGGTGAAGCAAAAGCATGTAAGTTGAAATAATATTATGGGAATCATGGCCACATCTCTGTTATTGATTTTACTTGTTGAAAGTTGATGGATTCAAACAATGTAAATAGTTTTCTTTAATTTATATATTTGAAAGTATTAAATTTTAAAAAATTCCTTAGGAAAAATCCTAGATGATGTTATAAATTATTGAACTGTCAACAACTCTTATGTCATCAATTACCTGTTATTTAATTCTAGGAAAGGTATCTTGAAATATATATATATATATATATATATATATATATATATATATATATATATATATATATATATATATATTTGAGAAAAAAATAATAAACTCAAATAAATACTTTTTTTTCTAACAGCAACTCTAATAAATAATTCGGAAATATAATATTTATTTTATTTTATTTATAATATAGTCAATTCTCAATTTGTGGATATAATAATTACCTAACAAATCGACTTGATATATACTTTTATTCTAAGTAGAGATATTTTAATAAAAAAGAACAATAAACTTCCGTCAAAAAGTAATTAAAAAAGAATATAAAACATATACGCGGGAGGATCGAGTGACTTTTAATGTTAAATTAAAGAAACATATCTTCTTGGATGCTCAAATTGAAGGTTGTTTGAAAGATGTAAGAATATGAATCTTCCAATGAAACAAAAAGTTACCATAATGTTCTCAAAGAAAAATACAAATCCTTTTATCCACCTGTAAAAATAGTTAACATTATTGAATGGATGTGGTTCATTGATAATACACATATTTGGAAAAAATAAAAAATAAAAAAGTTTCATTCTTGTAGAATGCATGAATGACTTTAATTGTGACTAAATCTCAAATCTGGTATGGGAAAATAATTTCACAATTGACTCAAAAAATTGAAACTTGTGAAATACCTAATTATCTATCTAGTTAAAAAGCTAAACACTTTTCCTCGAAAATAAAATCATATCATTCAACTAATGGAAAAGAAAGAAAACACTAGTACAGAATAAGCTTTTAACATCGGTTCTAGAATCGATGTAGATATAACCGATGTGGAAAGTCCTCTCCAATTACCCTATCTATTGATAGATAGGTCTCTTCTCCCTTTTATATTATATTTTTTTAACATCGGTTCTAGAACCGATGTAGATACAACCGATGTGGAAAGTCCTCTCCAATTACCCTATCTATTGATAGGTAGGTCTCTTCTCCCTTTTATATTATATTTTTATTATTTGTTATATTGTTTAAGATCAGATTAAGAGAATTGTCACTTGCAAGATTCGAACCCAGTACCTTAGAGTCGAAGGTCGATACTCCAACCACTAAGCTACTAGGATTTTCTCGATAATAACTTATACATAAATTATATTTATATACAAATAAAAATGTATATCTATGTAAATATATAAATATAAAATATATAAATACGAGATACAAATATATTTATATATTTATATGTTGGATGTGAGGGCGCGCTCGAGGATGAAAGTGTGTGTCGAGTGAATTTTCAAAATTTAATGTCAAATTTGTGAGCGAGTCTCTTTATATGGATTATAACTTAATGACAAAATATAATCTTTATAATTTATTTATATAATGATATAAAATAATTTTTTTTCTTTATTTTATATCATTATATAAATTAATTATAAAGATTATATTCTATATTATTATAAATAAATTATAAAGATTTTATTCTATTATTAAATTACAAATTCATATAAAGAGACTCGCTCACAAATTTAACATCAAATTTTGAAAACCCACTTGTCACACACTTTCACTCTCGAGCGCGCTCTCACATCCAACATATAAATATATAAATATATTTGTATTTGTATTTATATATTTTATATTTATATATTTACAAGGATATACATTTTTATTTGTATATAAATATAATTTATGTATAAGTTATTATCGAAAAATTCTAGTAGCTTAGTGGTTGGAGTATCGACCTTCAACTCTAAAGTACTGGGTTCGAATCTTGCCAATGACAATTCTCTTAATTTTATAAAAGACTTTCTACATCGGTTCATCTGATAACCGATGTAGAAAGTGTTTTCTACATCGGTTCATCAGGGAACCGATGTTGAAAGTCTTGAATTCACTTTCTACATCGGTTCTTTAAGAACCGATGTGGAAAGGCCGATATTAAAAGTGATTTTTGTACTAGTAAAAATAAATTCTTCAAAAGCAATCAATTTAACCAAAAAAAAAAAAAATATTGTGCCAAAGAAATAATTATTGCTTATGGCATTTCCATGTGATGAGTTTAAGCACTGAATATTTTGTCCCTTTTCACCAATCAACTTTGTTGTGATCTAATTTGATTTCTTATCTCTTTAAATACTAAATTATAGAGACATTCTTTTTTTTTTAAAAAAGATTTATGATATTATTCGATCGGTCTAAAAACTTTGGTAACTTTAAATGGGTTGGTAAGTTTTTTACAGATATATATATATATATATATATATATATATATATATATATATATATATATATATATATATATATATATATAGAGAGAGAGAGAGAGAGAGAGAGAGAGAGAGAGAGATTTAGATATTAGTTACTCTATTGCGATGTTTTAAATTTTACATTACAAAAAAATTACATGATATTAAACTTATTTCATATATTAATATTTTATGATAAAATATTTAATTTATTAGATTATATCATACGTATATGATATGTTTATATATCTAGCGATAAAATAGTTAAGAATAATATATCAATATATCGAAATATTACGTAAATATATCCACGATTCTCTCATAAAATATTTTAATAATTAATAAAAAAAATAAACATAAGAGTAAAATTATTTTTAATAAAAATATATTAAAAAAATATATATCTATGGTTATTATTTAAAACATATCTCTAAAATTTTTCAAATGAGAGATAATTGAGACGTACTATTATATACAGACGTAATAATTATTTCATTTTCGAGACACAAATGTTCTCCATATTGTTTCTCCACTCCCAACCAACATTTTGACAATATCATTATCAAAGAAAACTAACAAGTGCAGGTTGACCATGGAATAATGAGTTCAAAATCATTTTATTTATTTAAAATATATGGCTAGAAAATTTGTTTTTTGTTATATATTTTGTTGAAATAGATATATTTTGGTTCACCCAAGGAACATTGGACCTAGTTATGTAGTTGACAGTCAAAGACAGAAATTTCTATGCCTAGCTAGTGTTTTGTTTGACTGTTCATGCACGACTGTTTTTTGGAAGAAGATGAAAGAAAGACAGCATGTCAAGTATGAACAAAAACAGTTGAAAGAGGAACATGCTATGCACACAGTAATATTATAAAAGTAGGTAAATTGAAGTCTTAAATTCAATGATATGGTACACCTAGTTTGATATTCTATATATCTACCCATTATTCTTAGGAAACGCGACGTCGTTTGATGTCTTGTATTATGTTTTAAAAACAAAAGTACCATGCGTTTGAAAGTAGTACATACATTCATCATCGTTTTCAAAGGCGCAACCTTTTGAACATGCATATGTGCAACTGTTGTGGATGAATGCATAAAATCTTCGACTTGACGATGCGTGACACACTAAGGACTGACAAATACAATTCAATAATTTGAGTTGAAAAAAGAAAATTAAAATTAGAAGGTGCATGAACCTGTACCCTAACTTTTGTCACCTCCCAACATTAGTGGGACCCCATATCTAGTAGATTAGATATTAAAGTTACATTAAAATGTCACAAGTTATTCTGAGGGTCGTTTTCAAATGCAATAGATTCCATCGTGTTTCAATCCAACAAGCAAAAGGAAGAAAATAAGGAAATATATATATATATATATATATATATATATATATATATATATATATATATATATATATATATATATATTCTGAATTTTAATTAGTGGAAGGCGAAATAATAATGCTTTCAAATATATTATAATTTATTAAATATGATACAAAACTTATGGTCGAGAGTTTATATTGCCCCCGATCTTGGTGAATCTACACTGTAAATTAAGAAAAATAAGCAAGTGTGCATTGACGGAGGAACAAAGAGTAAAAGAATGCTCCAAAGAAAACAAATAATGTATAAGATATTATTATAATAAGAAGATTGAAAAATACAATTCTAAACCTATCTTAAATAGGTTTTATTTCACAATAACTAAATTCAATCAGTTATCCTAAATTTGTAACGGAAAAATCCAAATCTCAATATCTCCCTTATGGATGATTGTTATTTCGAGTTTGGGTATAATAATTTTGAAAGATGATTAGTGAAGAACTTTGGTGAAACCATCCATCATATGTTCATTTGATCAAACAGGTAAATTGCATCTTCTCTCGAACCTCTGGTATGTTTGTAAAAATTAAGGTTATTGGTGATGTGTCTAGCAGTTTGATTATCACAACAAAGAACAACAAAGGTTTAATATGTAGATTTAGAGAAGATAATTGAGTTATTGAAGTTCACCCATCGTTGTGACAAGAACGAGTTATTTAGCTTTCATCAAGGAATGAGAAACAATATTTTGTTTATTAAATTTCTATGAAATCAAATAATCCCAAGAAAAACAAAATAACCAGTAATAGAACACCTAGTTTTAGGATAAAAAGTCCAATCAGAACCATTGAAGGGTTTTAATTATATGCCA